CGGGATCGAACTCGCGACCTCGCGCTTGCCAGGCAGGCGGCGGAACCACTGAGCTAAACCCCGCCCTGGATGTCCGCTCCTGCTGGCCGAGCACGAAGCCGGTGTCCCTCCCTGCACGCACGGCCCGGCCTGGGATCTGCATCCGGACCCCCAGACCAGACCGGAAGTGCCCAGCACACAGCCGTAGCCGTAGAATGGGGGGCTCCGGGCCGGACCGGAAGGGGCATCCCGACAGTGAGGACGTTGGGGCACCAAGAACTGGGACTCCTGGGAAGTGACGGGGTGACAGTGGCTCAGGCTTCACTAGGAATGGACATCAGGGTTTGGGGGTCCCTCATCCTTCTCACCTTTGGGGCCCAAGCAGGGACGGAGAAGTGGGCTCTGGTGGGCTGCGCTTGGGCACCTTGTCCAGATGAAATATTAAACTATCATTTTTGCTGAGCAGTTACTCCTCTGAGTGTGTGGGGTTGGGACTGCCCCCCAGGACCTTTGACACACCTGTCAAGCGGGGCATTTGGAGCCACAGTGGGCCCTTGGGTTCTTCCCAGATAGCTCCCTTCAGAAGACTCTGAGGAAGCAGCCCTCCAGCCCAGGTCTCTCTAGACCCTCATTGTCTCCGAGATCCTCTTTGGGGCACAGAGGAAAGGGTTTTGTGGTATGACCAGGAGTCTGGGCTGTGGCTTGTCATCAGAGATCGCTTATCTTTCGGTTCCTGTAGTTCCTCCTTGCACAGCAGGGGGCGGCCCATTCACACCTGCCAGGCATCCTACAAGGCCCAGTTACCTAATGTAGAATGAGCTGGCCCAGAAGTTGACAACCTTCCTGGGAGAGATTGTGTGTGGTCCCAGACCCTGAGGAGGGTTGCTGGGTTATAATTCCACCTGCCCTGCGAGCACCTGAGGCTGTGCCTATCAGATAAACTGCGCAGGAGGCCAGCTGCTCTGAGCCTCCGCCATGGGCCCTGGTGCGGTCCGTGTGACCCCTGTTGGCCAATGAGCGGGGTGGGCGTGGTCGGCATCACCAGCGGGTGGGGCTCGGGAGCCAGCACCTTGGAAGCGGCCGGCTCCCCCAGGTGGGTCCTGGACCACCGTGCGGAAGTCACTGGCCTGCCCACGATGGCTACAACTGCGTGTTTCCCGTTGAACGTGACGCTTGTGGTCCCAGCCCCCGCCCAGCTGATCCTCTGTCTCCATTTAGGAACGGGGGCGGCTCGGCTCAGTTCCAGCTCGCAGGGTGCTAAGCATGGTCACGTCTCAGGTTGTGCCTCCCGGCCTGCAGTCACCTGCCTGGTCCCCTGCTCCACCCTCACACCACAGCCTGGCCTCCCTGCTGCCCACAGGGCCCTGCCTCCCCGCCCCTGGGCTCCAGCCAATGGGTTCCCCGCTGCTCCTGCACCGTGCCAGGGCCTTGGCACGGCCTCGCCTTCCCCCTGGGCTGCCCCGCCTGGTCTTCCCTGGCTAGTTTACCTCTAGGAGGCCTTGGCTTCCCTATTTGGAACTCCAGCTCCCCCCACTGCCCATTCATCACGACATCATTTACCCCAAGAGTTCACTTTTTCCTTATCCATTTCCCTGCCACAGTGCAGCTCTCCAGTCAGGTTTGCTGTGTTCACAGCTAAAAGGGGTGCCCAGCAGTAGTAAGTGTTTAGTGCATACTAAGTGCAGGAATGAATGGAAGGAGCCAGTTATGGGGAAATCTGGGTGGTTTCAGGAGCAGGCACAGCAAGTGCAAAGGCCCTGAGGTCAGATGTACTCAGAGCTGTGGCTGGAGCCAAGCAAGAGCAGAGGCAGTGGGCAGAAGTGATTTGTACCATGATTAATCCAGGCAGATGGTGTGGGGGGGAGCGCCCCAATCCTCTTAGCTCAAAGCCCCTAATACTTCCTCTACGTGGGTCACCTCTGGGCCTTTGCTTCAGGTGGCTGCCATGTCGGGGCTGACAGTACTGACTGGCAAAGAGGAGGCCAAGGGCTGGAGCCCAGGCCTGCCCCTGTATAAGGAGTACTGGCCACCCCCGCTGGACACCGTCCGCCTGCCCCGGAATGTGCTCTACCTGCTGATGGCTGCGCTCCTGGTGGTGGCCGTGGCCTATGCCATCGTGGGGCACCTCATCAAAGACCTGGCCCACGACCTGGCCGGTGAGCACTGCCCTCCCCGTGTGGCCAGGGCCAGGGATCCCCAGGTCCTTTCTGGGCAGGGAGGGGTGGGGACCAGGGACAGGAAAGGGTGAGGGGAACCTCACAGGTGTCCCTGCTGCAGACTGGGCTTTCGGCCCGAAGCCGGACCAGGAGGATGCGCCCCGGGAGCTGTGCGCCAGCCTGGCTGCTGAGGACCTGGAGGACCTGGACCTGCAGCTGGCCCTGGCATGGCGGGGTGATGACTCCGGCAGAGGCAGCAAAGGCGGCCCCGTGGAAGCATCTCCCCAGGATCCCTGGCGCCCCTCCATCACCTGTAGGGACCTCCTTGTCCAGAGCTGAGCCAGGCCGTGGCCACGTAGACAGCTCTTGTGCCCTGGGCCTTTTTTGCAGACGAATATGGCGCTGTACCTCACAACCCGCAGGCAGTCTGTAAGTGAACACCAAGACATTTTTAAAAATTAGAGTCATCAACCTTTTCTTTTCTTTGTGGTACTGAGGATTGCCCTGAGCTCCATTCCCAGCCCTTATTTTGAGACATGGTTTCACCAAGTCACTAAGTGGCCCAGGCTGGGCTCCAACTTGCAATCCTCCTGCCTCAGCCTCCCAGAGTGCTGGGCTGACAGGCGTGCACCACCGTGGCGGGCTTCAAGCCTCTCCTACTCTCTGCTCCTGTGCTAAGTAAGCCCACGTGTCATGTGATCTCGCTGCATCCTTCTGTGTAGGATTTACAGCCCCAGCTGACAGCAGGGGACACTGAGGCATATGCCATGGTGAAGTGGACCCCCTCTGAGTGGAAGGGACTGTCACAGAGCCACGCTGGGTGACTCACCTAGAAGGCAGAAGCTCCAAGGCAGGGTCCACCTCCCCACCCCCGTGCATCTCCTCCACCCCGCCCCAGGCTACCAGGTTTCCCTGGGGTGCTCCCAAGGGGACAGTGCCCTTCCTTCTGGAGCTTTGCACAAGGTGAGGTATACAGTTGGAGCTTAATAGCATCTGCCTGGCTAAAGTTGGCACGTGGTTAGTCCCAGTTCCTCATCCTCCGCCTGCACCGTGGACCCTTGGGCCTCTGGAAGGGAGGAGCCCTGGGCGTGCAGCAGGCAATCCACCAAGACCTTCCTTTCACGTGCCGGGGCAGTGGCAGCCAGGGTGGGGTTCCCCTTTGCCTGGGAAGGGTTCACTATCTAATCAAGCCAGGGACCAAGGTTGAGGACAGAAGAGCCAGAGCCTGAGTCGTCTCTTCCCAAGAGTGTCCCTAGTTCTGCAGCCACACGTGTCCAGGGTTGGGCGTGGTTGCTGGCCCGTGGCCTTGTGCTTTTGGGTTCCCAAGACCCAGGAGCCTGATGCCCTTGTTTAAGCTGGTAGTCGGCAAGAGCCAGCTTCATCTCCCTGCCACGATGGGGGCTGGCTGCTCTGGGTTCCTGTGGGCTCTGTAAAGTAAGGTTAGCAAAGTGTTGGGGGAAGAGTAGCCGGGCTCTGTGGCTCATGCCTGTGATGCTGGCACCTCAGGAGGCTGAGGCAGGAGGATCTCAAGTTCCTGCCCAGCCTAGGCAACTAAGCAAGAGTTTGTCTCAAGGTAAAGAAAAAGGCCCAAAGGTGCAGCTCTGTGTGGACTACTTGCCCAGCTTGTGCAAGGCCCTGGGTTCCATCCCCAGCACCTCTCCAAAATTTGGGTCGCCAAGAAAAGGGGATAGGATGTCCAAAGTCACAGAGCACGGAGCCCTTTGCACCCTGCAAGCCACCAAGGATGACTGAAATTCCGGTTGGATTTGCGAGCTCACACAGTAGGGGCCCGAGCCCGGAGGGCTTGCAAGGTCGAGGCCAGGGTCCTCTAGCCAGGCCCGGGCTTCAGAGACGCTGGGACTCCCGAGCCCCCGCAGGCCCTCAGTTCCGGGTGTGGTGCGGGGCTGGGCGGAGTCCGGAGGAGTTAATGTTACACCGGGTTCAGAGTCTGCTGGGGGAGCGAGGCGGGACGGGAGGAGGGCGGCCCCCCTCCTCTGCCCCTTAACTCCGCGGGCAACCGGGGCTCGCTCACACCCGGGCCTCCGC